ACGAAGGTCCAAGACAAGTCCGACGGGCCCGCAGTGCCCAGTGCGCAGGTCATTGGAAACACCAATACGGTCCAGCTCTGCTCCAAGACGCCCAGTGGTGCTGCTCCGACACATGACCCGTGGCTCCTCCATGATCCCTGGCAGACTCCCTCCGCCACGGGTTCGAGTCCGGTGGACCACCAAGCTGCCCTGCGTGATTTTGAAGTCCGACTTGAGAACAAAATCATGGCCAAGCTCCCCACATCTGATATGGAGGTCGACACAACCCCCATGCATGAAGCCCGTTTTGCAGCTCTGGAGCAACAAGTTCAGAGCCTGACCATGCATCAGCAAAACTTGGAGGCCAAGATTGAAGACACTGCCCAAAAATCTGACCAGCAGATCACTACGCTGCAGACCCAAGTTGCGCAACAACTTGACAGCCAGGGCCAACACATGCAGGCCTTGTTTGCCACGCAAATGCAGCAGATCGAAGCCCTTTTGTCCAAGAAACATCGCACCGAATGATGGTGTCGCCACACCTCTGCTTCCGGCAGGGGTCGTGGCCATGGACACCCATTTCGTTTGGATTTTTTCCCAGTGGATTTTCTCCTCTTGGCCTTGTGGACTTGTGTCTTCGGCTGTTTGGACTTGTTTGGGCTCTGCGGTCTCGATTTTGGACTTCCCTCTCTGGGTGTGGGATTCTGGCTTGTCGCTGTGCTCTCTGTCCTTGGTCTGCTTCATCTTTGGGGTCTGCTCTGCATTGTCTCTGCGCTGGCTCACAATGCATTGGGGAAACTTGGCTCGTCCTTCTCAGTCAGCCGTGCTGTGTCGCTTGGATGCGAGATCTCTCAGAGCTCCGGTGGTCTGTCAGTGCCTCGGTTCCGTCAGTTTTGGATTTTGTCGGTCTTGTTGTGCCTCACATGTCGCGTTGGTGAAGCCAGTAAACCAGGACCTGAATGGCAGATGGTTGTTGCCAACACCAATGGACTGAACACCCGTGCTTTCAGCCTTGCCCATAGTCCCTATGATGTGTGGTTGTTCTCTGAGACTCACCTGACCAAGGCTGGCACCAATATCTTTTGGAGCAATGTGCGTAGTTCTTCACCTGACTACGTCACCTTCATCCCGGGTTGCCCGGTTGCACCGAGGTCTGAGTCCAGTGAAATTGGCCAATGGTCTGGAGTTGGAGTTTTGTCCAAGTTCCCGGCTAGGCGGTTACCTCACATGTGGCCTTCCAGTGCCTACAAGTCCGGCCGTTTGGTGTGCACTGCCTTTTGTGCGTTTGATCTTTGGATTTCCGGTGTTGTGGTTTATGGTACGCCTACTGGCCCCACTCACCCCAGGGGCAAAGAGATCACCAATGAGCTTTTGACTCAAGCCCTTGACCGCATTGAACAATCGCCTGGTCCCAGGTATGTCGCAGGTGACTTCAATCATGATTGGGACACGTTGGAAGTCATATCCAAAATGCACCGTCTGGGTTACCGTGATATCCAAGATTTGCATGCAGAAAGAACTGGAATTTTGCCCCAAGCCACCTGCCGGGGAAAGACCAGACGTGACTTCCTGTTTGTGTCCCGTGAGCTTGCTGCCCTGTTTGTGGATTGTGCCATCGATGACAATGCGGTTGCTGACCACTCCTACTTGATTGGCCGGTTCAAGGGAGGCTCTGCTGATGTTTGCCGTTTTGCCTGGCCAATTCCAGACCCGATGGACTGGGAACCTGCGGATCGGCGCCCTCCTGTGTCGGTTCCTCTCTTTCAGGACCCTTCGACGCTCACGGCTGACTATGCCCAGTTTTGGAATGCTGTCGAAACCAATAACATGAGGGCGCGTGCCAGTGTCCGCAAACCTTTCATCCGAGCCATGACTGGCCGGGGTCGCCAGATGGCACCTGTGGCACGAATGGGCAGATTGGCTCCGCTCAAAACCAGCAGGCCAGGTGATCGGCAGCCCGCCTTCCTGGGGTCTTGTCTTCAGCATGCGCAGTGGACTAAGCAGCTCCGAAGACTTCAGTCATACACCCGGCTTTGTCGGTCCCAAATTCCAAGTTGTCAACATCGTGCTCACCAGCTCCAACTTTGGACTTCCATCCGTGCCAGCCCTGGTTTTGTGCCGGACTTCGCCACTTGGTGGATGACACGCCATCTGGGTGTTGGTGAGCCCGCCTGTGTTCCTGTCGATCCTCCTGCGTTTGAGTCTGCGTCCCTTTTCTATGTTGGGCTTGAGTTCGAAGTGTCTCAACTTGAATCTGCCTTGAATGCAGCCAGGTCCCATGCCAATCGTTTGTCCAAAGCATCGGATGCCCACGCCATGTATCGTGCAGTCCGTCGGGACATTCCTGCCCAGGTTGATTCACTGGCGTTGCACTTGTCCACCACGGTCACTGAGGTTGATGAATCTGAGTGTGCTGTTGTCACTGCCAATGCGGTCTCCTGGCACCCAGGGGTCCCCATCTTGCATGACTCCAAACCTCTCGAAGTCATTCATGCAGAAGAGGACAAGCTCTGGTTGCAATCCTGTCAGGACATCCAGCCCGGTGATCAGCTGAGTCAACGCAAACTTGTGGGACGGTTGCAGGACTTGTTTGTTGCGTTTGAATCCCAATGGTCCAAGCTTTGGAACCGACACACCAACGTCCCGGAGTCTCAATGGACGCAGATTTTGGACTTTGCTCGCCAACATCTTCACCCTGTTCATGTGCCTGCGCCTGTCATAGATCCTGAGTGTGTTCGGTCTACCCTCAAGCGGAAATCCAAGCATGCAGCTACTGGGCTTGACGGTGTCAGTCGAAGCGATTTGCTTTCCCTCAGTCCTTCCGACATGTCCCTGTTGTGCAAAGTTTACAAACATGCCATTCATGAAGGTATCTGGCCTGAACAAACGCTGTTTGGATATGTGCGGTCATTGGCGAAGGTTGAAGATGCTTGCGAGGTTGGCCAGTTCAGGCCAATTACTGTTTTCTCCAACACTTACAGGACTTGGTCTTCAATCGCTGCAAGACATTGGCTTCGTAGCCTCAGCAATTCAGTGGATCCCTTTTTGTGTGGTAACACAACTGGAGGGCGTGCGGCGATGGTTTGGAGGTACATTCTGGAGCGAGTCGAACAAGCTCACAAGGATGATGACGAAGTTTGCGGGTTTTCAGCAGACATTGTGAAGGCCTTTAATATCTTGCCCAGGTACCCAGCACTCACTGCGGCGAAGCTTATGGGGGTGGATCAAGGGACGCTTGTTGCATGGGCTGGAGCTCTCAATGGCTTTGTTCGACATTTCGTGGTCCAAGGCAGCTACTCACCGGGTGTTCGTTCTTGCAATGGATTTCCTGAAGGTTGTGCGTTGAGTTGCTTGGCAATGCTGACTTTGACCCAGCTCTTCCACAAGTGGCTGGTAGCGTCCAACATCATGTTTCGGCCTATCTCCTACGTGGACAACTGGGGGGTTCTCCTCAGATCAGTCGACTATATGCAACAAGCCTGCCAAGCGGTCGACCGGTTTGCACAAGCACTGCAGTTGGATTTGGATCCGTCTAAGTCATATTGCTGGGCTACTAGCCGAGAGGGCCGACGCCAACTTCGACAAGAAGGTTTTCAAGTTCGGTTGCACAACAAAGAGCTTGGAGCACATGTGGTTTTTTCCAGGCAGCTGTCCACCATGAGGGTCCGATGGTGCCTTTTGCGCAACGTTTTTCCTAATGACACCATCACATGCCTTTTGGCCAAACACTTGTTGTCTGCCTTTGTAGAGCAGGTGCTGTCATGCATCCTTGTAGTGCATGGAAGAGCCCGTGCGTGCAAAAGCATATTTGGGTTCACTTAACTTTGCCTTAACTTTGCAACCTCTTGCGCAAAGCAGCTGTGCAAAGCAGCAGTGCCAATTTTGAAGCCCAATGATAATTCATGGTTGCATCGAGAGATGCATGACTTGCGCAGAGAAAAAAAACTTTTATAGATGACAATATATACATATTGAATGGATATGAAAAATATTTCAAATAATTCATATTGTACATATGTGTTTTGGGGTGTATTTTTGCGTTTGGATAACGATGGCGGTTTTAGGGGGAAGTTTTCTGGTTTTCGTTCGGAGCTTGAAGGCGGCGCAGTGCACATGGCAATGTTTTAAGTCCATCATTTTGAATTTGACGCCTGTAAAAGGGGGTCATGAAGAAGAAATCCTCTGCGGTTTTCAATCAGGCCCAAGGGACAAAGGGTTGCGTGACCGAGTGCGATCACATGGTCCTAGTTTGTGCTGTGTGGCTTGTCGTTGCATGGCAAGTGGCAGCTAGCGCAGAAGGTGCGCCAACCCCTACCTGAGCAGCGCAGTGGGGCATGGGATTCTTTTAAGTTTCGATGTATAATATGGAAAGCATGCATTTGTGAGCATCTGATCTTCATTTGTTGGTGGGTGTGCAGCAGCTGTTTTGGGGCAGAGCTAGTCTATAGGGAGATCATTTTGATCTGTTGCGGTCATGGCTGCCGGCCCTTACCTTGTTGCCGCGGAAGAGTTGGAGCCGCATGAGGAACGGGTTGTGGAACCTTTGGCGCCAGAGGGCATTAAGATGCAAGCCTGGAAGTCCGTGAGACTCTAGTTCACATGTTTTGGTGAACATTTTCAAACGCATTGGGGGGTGGTTTCAGTTTTCAATGTGTTTCCTGGCACGCAAAATTTTTGATACAGCATGAGCAAGGACCTGGCAAGATTGGTTGGACTGAGTATGAGGTGGCGAAGATGGCCCGGGAGATGATGAGAAGCCTTCCCGCCAGTGTTCATGACATGGCTTCTTGTCCTCCAAGCTATTATTGACACACATGGGTTTCTCCATCCATGATCATGCCTGGTTCCTTGAAAAGTGATGAACATACCAGATGGAAATTCCAATTTCTATGCCTTTCCTGCTCCCCCTTGAATGAGAAATTCGATCAGATTTGTGGTGCTGCAGCTGTAGCTATAGTATCATCTTGTGCATTCCGGCCCTGCAGATTCAGAGTGGCCAATGGCATGGAGGCAAAATCGTCATGCTGGAGAACACGTTGGCTCGCCCCTCAGCATCCGACTGTGCGGCCAACTACGTCTACATTCGTCCAGTGCTGATCCATAGCCCGGACAAAGCCACTTGCCACCAGTTTCCCATGGGGTAGTTTGATGGAATTGTTTCATAGACATGGTTTCTTGAACTACTACTGGGTTTCAATTGACTTTCAGACATGGAGGGGTCCAATTCTGTTGCAGACACAGGTTTTGAAAGATTGGCTCATCAGCCCAGGTTCCCTCCGGGTACTTTTTGACCGACGTGTTTTTATACGTGGACATGCTTTTCAGCGGTAAGCTGCTGAAGGTGACTGATGAATTGTCCAAAACAGGACTAGCCAGCGACGAAGCCGTGAAGCTCAAGAAGCTCATCGGAGGCATCCGGGGGTTGTGGCGCAGTTCAGATACAGGCCATCACCCAAGGGTGACAGAGTTGAAAGCTTTGATTGAGCCAAGCCCATCCAAGAAGAAGGAGCTGGAAGAAATGGAGTCTTGATTGACATCTTCCATCCACAATTTTTGTTGGAAATTGCTGGAATGTTTTCAATCATGGGTTTGGGTTTTTCCCCACCTGCCAGGTGAGGGTTGTTAGATTTTATCAGAGTTGTTCTCCTCCTCCTCCTCCTCCTCGGCTAGCTGTCCTCCTCCTCCTCCTCGTCCTCCTCCTCCTCCTCTAGTTTCTCCTCGACCATGTCTGCATCAACTTCCACCTCCACTTCCGCCTTGCCAACTCTTCGCCAAGCTCTTTGCCAACTCTCTTCGCCAAGCTCTTTGCCAACTTCCCAGCTCAGTGTGCACTGGGACCTCAACCTGGGACCTTCCCAGCTCAGTGTGCACCGCTGGACCTCAACCTGGGACCTTCCCAGCTCAGTGTGCACCGCTGGACCTCAACCTGGGACCAGCCCAGCTCAGTGTGCACCGCTGGACCTCAACCTGGGACCTTCCCAGCTCAGTGTGCACCGCTGGGCCTCAACCTGGGACCTGCCCAGCTCAGTGTGCACCGCTGGACCTCAACGGCCAGATAGAATGCCAGAAGATATGCCAGATAGAATGCCATGAATGATATGCCAGATAGTATGCCAGATAGAATGCCAGAATGTTTGCCAGATAGAATCAGATAGTATGCCAGATAGAATGCCAGAATGTTTGCCAGATAGAATGCCAGGAGGATATGCCAGATAGAATGCCAGTAGGTATGCCAGATAGAATGCCAGAATGTTTGCCAGATAGAATGCCAGATCGAATGCCAGAAGATATGTCAGATAGAATGCCAGAAGATATGCCAGATAGAATGTCAGAAGATTTGCCAGTAACAAAACGTAAAAAAGTCATGGTGGGGATCACGCGAAGTAAAGTAATTGGAAGTTGAAGTAAAAGTAATTTGCCAGTGCACTTACACAAGCCAAGGAGAAGAAAGCTGAAAGCGGGTCCGATGCAGAGCTTTCCAGCACTTCCAGTGGTGAAGAAGATAGCCCCGAGAGCCGTGGGTCAGATTCCATGGGCACCACTCTTGAGCTTGGGCCACGAAGTGTGGAGGTGTCTGACAATGGATCTACTGAGGCAGATTCTGATGATGAGTCTTGTGATGTTGACATGTCGAAGGCTGACGACGAGCCCTTTCGGTGCAGCCAGCGGGAGGGTGGTGAGTCGTGGGGCCTGTGCTACCAGGACTTCAACAGGATGGAAAGGCTGGAGAAGACCGTGGTTCCAGTTGAGATCTTGTACTCATGGTGGGTCGATGGCGAGGTTCCAAGGACGAGTATTTGGGTACATTTACTGAGGTGGATGTCCAGTGTCCAGGCTGTTGCTTAAACAGTGCAAGTCTTGACAGCCCTAGTACGTTACAGCCTTTTGGCCAATTTTCAAAACCAAAGAAATTTCCTCAAAAGATAGTTGCATCAATGGATATTTTCTATAACAGATGCTCCGCTACCAAGTGAAATTTTGTTTGGGAACCCATCAGGTTTCCTTCACATGTCATATATTGCCCATTGAGGCAGGACCAACCATCTGGAGAACCATCAAGTTTCTTTCATTTACATTGTGAGTTACATTGTGTTGTGGCTGCATCCATGCACTTTGAGGCATGAGCTGTTTGGCAGCTACCTTCAGCGTTGCATCAACTTCTACTCCGAGAGTGGATATGGTGGTGACAACAAGAACCTCTGTACTGCGAAAGACTGGTTGTGGTTTCTTGATGCATCCACTGGGCAGGCCAGGCTAACCCAGCATGCGCAGTATTTCTTATCTAAACTTGTTTTACTTCTGAATGTACCTTGCATCATTGTGCATGGAGTCAAGGTGTTTGATCAAAGGTGTACATTTCACATGGTGTCCAACAGTTTTGATCTCAACATCCCCCATGTGTGGGGTCTGAACCCCATTTTCAGAAAAGGGACAACATCTATATACTTCCCATATGCTTCCAATAAACTGGATTTCACCCCAGGTAAAAAAAAGTGTGAAGATCCATGCAGTATCTTTAGATCTATCATCCACAGACCAACAGGTAACCCACCACGCATAAAAGCTAGCCGGTTTTTAAACCCTACTATCATGTCTGTCAAAAACCAATCAGTCAAGTCACCAATTAAAAAGCTGGCTTTCAACCCCATTGACGATAGATTGTCTTCAATAAACCACCATTAACCCACTAGGAATAAATTGGTTTAAGCCCCCATTGTCCATAGATTTGTTTACAATCAGCGAAGGTCAACTTAGCTATCTAAGGGTGCCCATGACAGAGGGCCCAGGACTTCTTTTTCCCCATCGGTTTTGGTCCACGCGTGCTTTGGCATGCAGGCATCTTCGGCAGCTGCAGGGCCTGTCGCCCCAATCCATTACGGTCCCATTGCCCCCAACACTGGCATGGAGGACTCTGTGCAAACAATTTTACAGAACCATTCCCATACGTGTCAGAAAAATGTTCTCAACTTCTTTTTGTTTGTGTCAAAGCCCTGCCAACTGCCAACTGCAGGATGACGATTTCAAGTACCGTGGCAAGCGTGAGGTGGAGGCTCTCCCAGAGTTCAATGAGGTGAAGGCTGAGTTGGTTCGTGATGTGGAAGTGCCCGGAAAGCAGGGCAAGGAGACTAAGCCCAGTGTCTTGAGTGGGCCCCCCAAACCCTGAAACATGTTACATTTCATTTTTGTTTTCTCAGTGGTTTGGCGCCTCTATGTCAATGTAGTTCTTGACAAATGCACACCTGCAACAAGCGTCCATCTTCCCATGGTTTGCCATAAGCTTCATTCCCTAACAAGGAGCAGCTTTGAAAAAAAAATCAATCTTGCTAAGAAAGGTCCCACCACCAACAAGTTCCAGAATCCACAAATCAACAATCAATCTTAATTACCTATAGAATGACGTTGAACACTTGTTTTATCAGTGAATAAAGAAAGATAATATTAATATGATATGTATTGCCTAGACTTGTGTCGTGTGTCATAGATACTATCAATTACCACCCCGAGGATGACGTTCATAGCGAATCAAAGTTCAGTCATATTTGAAACATTGACAATGTGCCCCAATGTATTTGTACCATCTCTCAACCCAAAGTGACATGTGAGTCAACACTCTCCAGGATCCTTCTGCCAGAAAGAAGAAGTCCAAGTCCCGCAAGGTGTTGAAGAAGGCGAAGAAGAAGGCCCTCAAGGCCGCATCGCATGAGGCTACCCCGAGTGAGCGGCCCAATCCAGTTGAGAATGGCGTGTGGAAGGGATTCAATCTAGTCGAACTTGGGGTGCCCTTGGAGGCTTACCCCAAAAGTGACCGAGAGCACAAAGGAAAATGTGGCTACACAGTTTCTGCTACCAACGGAGCTGTACCTAATTGAAATCTAGAAAGCTTTGTGATTGAGTTTGAAAAGGTACCATGCTCTCTTAATAAGGTATTCCAACAGATGTTGCACCTAGATTATCAGCGGGTAAAACATTCGAAAGTATATGGGAACATGTTTGGTTACATATCGTTTGGGTACCCCAAACCATATTTTTGTCAGCCCCCCCAAATTGTCTGGTGCATTTTTATTGGGCCACCTATGTCGCTGGGATCTTTTATTGTTCAAGAAAGATAGTGATCAAAATAGTACAAAATAGGCTTCCGTTTTGGTACCGCTAAGTTTCTCCCAAAAAAGGATGTTTGGCTACTCGAATCATTTCATCTCCGAGGCAGTGGAGGTCCTTTGCGCCAAGAAGGCTTTCATCGTCAAACGCATTGGCCACCTTCCGACCCCTGACCCTGACAAGGTGCTGTGCGGTCAGGTGACATGGAGCGTTCATGGCGGCCCGGCATCTGCCTGGGATGTTGCGAAGATGAGGGCCAACTTTGTCAACTAGCTTAGCTTCTAGCTGCTTCCGGAAGTTTAAGGGTATTGGTGGGTTTAACGTGTCTATGTGGCATAGATGTGGCTAGGACAAACTCTGGCCAACCCAGCTGCATAGCATGTGCTTTGGGGTTTGTAGGGAACATCAATGAAGCGATGCATTCCGTGGCAAAAGGATTGGATGTGGCATCGTGTGGCAGTCCTCAACCTACCTGCACCCCTGCTTTAGCACACGAACTTGGTAAAGTGTATCTTCTTGTCTTGGCGTCCTAACTCCTTTGGTGGCCCCAATGTTGCCAGTTCCCTCCATTGTGCTCGCACGCAGGCGATACCAACCAAGTTGCGTCCAGTCCAGCGACAGAGGACCGGGTGTGAAGCAACCCATAGTGCAACCAGGGCCGGTGTAGAAGGCCTTTGGTTCCAAGGCCCACTAAGCAAAGGGACAAGCCATCGAGAATATAGATACACAAACACAAACCAAGAAACATCAAGAAACAAGGCGTACAGACTTCGGTACAGGCATGGCATACACAATCATACACACATATAAAAATATATCATATTTGTGTATATGTCACAAGATGCAGAATACAAGTGGATCACACAGTTGTGTCCCCGTGCAGGACAGACTTATGCCGGTGGGAGCTCCAAAGGACTGCAGGGTCTCTGCAGGGTAAACTTGGTTGATTAAGGGGTCCCGTTGATAAGATTACAGTGAGATCTGTTGCAATGAGGGTATTCCATTCAACAATATGTTTGCCAATGCTTTTGACGCAACAGCAGTTCAAACTAGGTTGAGGCAATTTCCTCCCATGCCATCATGTTACAAATTGCATCACATAGCCACGGACAGCTCCAACTGCTTTCTCGGCTAGTTGCTGCATCATGGGGATTCGCAGCCATTCCATGCCTTTCCGTGACCTTAAAAGGGACAAGAAGAGGCAGAAGGAACAGACACCGAAACGTCGAACCATGAAGCAGAAGCAACAGAGTTGGGTGATGACAGGGTTAAAAGCCTTGAAGGCCCCTACGGCATCCTGCCACATATAACCAGGCCCCCAAATGTGGATGCTATAATTCCCCAAATCCAAGAAGTTCACGAAAATCAATGGGGTTCGGGGTTCAAGTGTTGGTGATTTTCTTTACCGGAAAATCATGGGTATTAATACCAAACTCTTTAAGTGTAGAGGATATGGTAGTACCACTATTTTAGGAACACATTATTTTCCTTATGGGTTTGTCTGGAAAGGGTACCAACAATCCCTACTTGGGTGGGAAAACAATTTCATAGCGTGGTTTTGCTTTCAATATCATTGCAATGGGTGTATTTTCAACCAAACCATTCTCTTGCCACCCAGCCAAGGTAATTGCAATGCTGGCGACCTTGATCTTCGCCCAGCCAGGGTTGGACTGGTCATCACCAATTGACCACTTTGAAACTTTTGCTGGAAAGATGAGTGTTACTAAAGGCGAAATTCAGGCAGCTCTGCTGAGCAATTGTTTGGTGGTGCCCTTACCCTTTCTTATTCTTTTTAGACCTCAAAAAAAAATAAAATGACCCAAAAGGACTTTCAACCGACCTTCATGCCCTGTATTGGATCGGTGACATAATACTTTACACGCTGGAGTCCTTTACGTCCCATCCAACTTTTGTTTGGGCAATTCCCAACCGTGGTTCATATGCAAAATGTGGTTTTTCAATAAGTCCCCCATTCCCCAAACAATATCTTGCCCTCAGGCAGGACGAACGGCTGTTCCCTTCGAGCTGGATCTCGACCCGAAGACCCAAGATATTCTTACCCCCCACGGGTTTGCAAATGCGTGCTTCCAAGTGTTGAGACTGCGGGTGGGAGGGGCGGACCTTCACGCACCTGTGTGTTCAACATGGGTGTGGATGATGCTAGATTCGACAAAGTTGTTATTTTATTGAGGATCCTGAAACCATGTCTGATGTGTTGGCAAGGATTCCCAAACATTTCTATGATTTTCAACCTGTTATTGAAAAGATTCCCATTCACCTCCTTTCTTGGGTTCGAATCATTGTAAGGAGTCGTGGAAGTACTTTGAGAAGCGCTTGCCGGCCATTAGGCCGAAGTGACTCCAAGAAGGTGCACGAAGGCAACGTCATGACTGCCAGAGTAATGGTCTTGATGATCCTTGCAGCGTGCAAAGGATGTTGGTCCATACTAGAACAGCCGCAGAGCAGCTTGATGTCATGTCACCCAACTTTCCAAAGAATGCTGAAACTTCTACGAATCTTCAAAGTGACGGTCAAAATGTGTGACTACGGTGGCTCAACAGATAAGCCGCTGACCTTGTTTTCCAGTAACTTTGCATGATGTGGCAGCATTGCTGATTTTTTCACTTGGGTTTAACTGACACCCTAAACAATCAAAATTCCATCAAAACCCAGGAAAAACGCCTTCTTCTAGAGACTTTACGGGGTCAGATTTCGATGTACCACCACAGCCTTTTGACACACAACCCTGCCCAGGTGTATCTATCTACCTACTATCTATCTATCTAGCTAGCTATCTTTCATCTATCTATTTGTCTGTCTGTCTATCTATCGATCTTTCTATCTATCGATCTACCTATCTACCTATATATACATATATATATATATAAATCTAATGTAATCTAATCTAACCTAACCTAATCAATCTATCTAACCTATCTATCTAATCTATCTGTCTTGGCAATTTGCCACTTTGCTTGGCCCCTTCAAAATGTATAAAGCGGACCCCACCAAGTCCCCCGAAAAATAGCTTTTTCCTGAGTTTCCCAAAGGAAACCTGACACTTGGTGGGGTCCATTTTCCAGGGCGAACCCAAGTGGATTGGCAATCTGTCTAAACTATCCATCTATCCATCTATCCGCCTACTCATTCATCCATCCATCCATCCATCCATCCATCTATCTCTCTCTCTCTCTATCTCTCTATCCCTCTATCTCTCTATCTGTCTATCTGTCTATCTGTCTATCTGTCTATCTGTCTATCTGTCTATCTGCCTATCTGTCTACCTATCTACGTACCTATCTATCTATCTGTCTGTCTGTCTATCTATCTATCTATCTATCTGTCTAATCTATCCATCGATCCATCGATCCAGGAACGCACTATTTATATTTATATATATATATATCCATCAGTGTATAAATATATATATATATATATACACGTATGTATCTATCTATCTATATATATATATATATGCATATTAAAAAAACACATATTTATATGTATATATATATATATATATATTTCGGCAAACACATATCTGCAAATATGTTTTGTAGATAAATACCATCAAGTTTCATCAAACAAACCTTGGGGCTCCCATCCCATACATAGCCTATCTAGGCAGACCAGAGATCGCTGACATTTTGGAAGAGCGGCAGCCATCCAAACGAGCATCTGGTGAATGTCCTGAGATGACGGTGAAGTACATTGACGGGTCAGGGAAGCAGAGATGCAAAGGTGGAGCTGATCTCAAAGCTTCACAACATTACCCTCCTTTGCGCATCAGTTAAGCTGTAGCAGCTTTCTTTGTTTTGGTGGAAGATGTCAACTCCCAACAACCAGGTCCATCCTGCTGATAGTCTAAAGGCTTGAGAAGCCAAAGAATGTCTATCAATCTCCTTGCTCCACCACTGTAACACTGCTGTCTAGTAGAGTTGTCTAGCCTCCAACATCCCATTTTGGAGAATAGGTTGACATCAAAAGGTTTGATTTGGTTGCTGCCCATGTCTTTGGCCCACCAAGGTTTGGCAAATGTCTCGCCAAGGTGCGGTCCAAGCATCTGAAGAAGGTGAGGTCACAAGCCCGCCAGTTCCTCCGGCGAGCAGCCCAAGAGGGCGGGGAATTGGATGACCGAATGGGCACCAATGCTCACTGGCTAAAGCATGCTGACCTTTACCCAGTGCTGTCTTACTTGACAAACAATGCAGTTGACAACTAGCTGCAGGTGCGCTTTTAGCACATTAAATTCCATGCACTCTTAGAATGGTGAAGTGGGAATTACCTACGCACTGCGCATGTGATGTTCTGGCAGCCGGGTTGAAAAACCGATGTGTGCAAAAGGTGTGCTTCGGATCCCATCCTGAAAAATTACACTAGGAAATGAATGTAGAACAAGTATGAATGGGGTAAAGTTCCCAAGAGTTCTTCAGGGACCAACCTCTCACCCCAATAGTCTGCCAAGCTTCTCCTGTGCAAACGGGGCAGGACACTGCCAGCAGCTGCAATCTCCGAGCTTTGAAGCGAGGTGCCTTCAGCACATAGGGGGTCGCTACTCACGTTGACTTTTTTTTCTGAGTTGATCCAAAAAAAGATGGCGGTTTGGAGCGAAATCTGTAGCGGTTTGCAGCGAAAGATGGCGGTTTGGAGGAATCTCAAAAATCACCAAGTCTGCATTTTCTTTTTTGAATGTAACAATAAGCAAAAAAAATGAAAGCCTGAATGCCCGAGAAATCACATGTCTTTTGGAGCGAGAAACCCGAGAAGAAATGGTTGCCGTTTGGACATGCATCTCCTCGCAGCCTTGTTTCAAGTCACTGCAGTGTCAGCCCACTGCTTTGCACGGCAACCATGCCAACCAAGCGACCTGTGGAGCTGACCAAAGAGGCTCCGTCCAGGAGGTACACAGCGAAGGCACCACCTCCATCGGCCAAGTCAGACAGCTCTCGGGGTGCCAAAGCCAAGGCGTTATGTCATCAGAAGAAATTTCAAGCTCCACCACCTGTGAAGAAAGATGGCAAAGTCAAAGACAAGAAGGAAAAGAAAGATTCAAAGGATAAGGAGAAGGCGAAGAAGCAGGATAAGGCGAAGACAGAAAAGAAGCACAAGAAAGAGAAGGAGCAGGTGGACGAAAAGGTGAAGCAGAATTTGAAGCATGTAGAGAAAGCAAAGTCAGAGAATCAGAAAGCGGAGAAGAAGGACAAGCTTAAGAGAAATTTGGCCCCAGACTTCGAGAAGGAGGTGGAGGGTGCAGGAAGAAAAGCCATGAAAGCTGACTTACAAAGCAAGCTGGCAGCCTTGAAAAAAGCTAGCGAACGAAATGTGGCATCTGATGAGGATGAGAGTGGCGCTGAGTCTTTGTCAGCTGCTCTTCAGCCTTTGATTCAAGCTCGGCAGCACAAGTCTTGTCCTGATGAGGATGAGGATGAAGAAAGTGATGCTGATGGTGGGGAAGAGGAAGGCTCAGCAGGGTCGGAGGAGGATGAAGATGGAGACGAAGATGAAGATGATTCTGACTTTGAGGATGAAAGTGATGATGAAGATGAGCCAGGTTCAAGTGAAGAATCGGCAGAGGAGGAGGAGGAAGAACATGGAGCAGAAGAGGGTGGAGGTAGGAAGTCAGCTTTGCGACGCGCTTCGGCTACTTCGGGTACTTCGACGACACCAACACCGGCAACTCCAGCAGCTTCTGAGGACCAGGTCAACACGAACTCGGACCTTGCTTTGGTGGCCCAGGAAAGTGAGAAGTCCACGCAGTTGGTGCGAAACAGTTTCTTAGCTTTGAATGGTTCAATGTCCGTTTGTTTTTCTGTTCACAGCTATCAAGCATCCAGCACTGAAGTTTGGGTACGTTTTTGGTAACTAGAGAGTAGGGCTGTCCTGTGGTATCAAACTGACATTGCACCCAATGTCTAACCAGCTATACTTTCCCCACCTGCCAGGTGAGGGTTGTTAGATTTTATCAGAGTTGTTCTCCTCCTCCTCCTCCTCCTCCTCGGCTAGCTGTCCTCCTCCTCCTCCTCGTCCTCCTCCTCTAGTTTCTCCTCGACCATGTCTGCATCAACTTCCACCTCCACTTCCGCCTTGCCAACTCTTTGCCAAGCTCTTTGCCAACTCTCTTCGCCAAGCTCTTTGCCAACTTCCCAGCTCAGTGTGCACTGGGACCTCAACCTGGGACCTTCCCAGCTCAGTGTGCACCGCTGGACCTTCCCAGCTCAGTGTGCACCGCTGGACCTCAACCTGGGACCTTCCCAGCTCAGTGTGCACCGCTGGGCCTCAACCTGGGACCTTCCCAGCTCAGTGTGCACCGCTGGACCTCAACCTGGGACCTGCCCAGCTCAGTGTGCACCGCTGGACCTCAACGGCCAGATAGAATGCCAGAAGATATGCCAGATAGAATGTCAGATCGAATGCCAGGAGATATGTCAGATAGAATGCCAGAAGATATGCCAGATAGAATGCCAGAAGGTATGCCAGATAGAATGCCAGAATGTTTGCCAGATAGGGTGCCAGAATGTTTGCTAGATAGGATGTCAGAAGATATGCCAGAAGATATGCCAGATAGAATGCCAGATAGGATGTCAGAAGATATGCCAGAAGATATGCCAGATAGAATGCCAGATCGAATGCCAGAAGATATGTCAGATAGAATGCCAGAAGATATGCCAGATAGAATGTCAGAAGATTTGCCAGTAACAAAACGTATAAATGTCATGGTGGGGATCACTCGAAGTAAAGTAATTGAACATGCACCAGAAATTTGATCCATTTTGATCCTTTCCATGTACATCTCAGGCGTGAACAGCAAGCGAGAGTGGGACTCGTTCAACAGAGCGATCCAGAACAAGAAGTGCTTCCCAGTAGAGTTATCAAGCTATGTCCTGAAGAATAAGAATTGCTTGTTCAATGCTTGGTGTGATGCCAACAGAAACTGGGACGAGTGCAAGCTTATCATGGAAAGGACACAGAAAAACTCAACCGAGGGTTTGTCTGGCTGGAAAGCTGTGAAAGGACGGGACCTAGTGTCTGAGTACGGTGAGGCCAAAGCTGAGACTTTGATGACGAAGAGATATGCTGCTGGACTCTACTACGACGACGAGGATTTCCCTGATGACAAGTTGGAGCGGAACTACTTCATGAGAAAGCAGAAGGAGGTGACTAAAAGGCAAACCACTGAGGATTCTACAAAGCTTCGTGGTGAAGTTGGTGCTGACAGGGAGGCTGTGCTGTCTCTCATAGACGAATCTGAGGGTATGATGAGGGCAGGGGCAGTTGCTGCTGACCTTGGAGCAGCCAACGCAGCTGGCCAGAAAGCCTTACTTGAAGGTCTTTCCGATGGTGTAGTTCACAAGGCGGCGCCCAAGAAGAGAGCAAAGAAAGAAGAAGAAGAAGGAGCCACGGAAGTCAAGCCAAAGACAATGGCTGAACAGGCCAGCGACTTGATGAGTGAGGTCTTGGCCGAAGCTACTTCTGCCAGGAAGAAGAGTATGGCTTTGGGGGGGGCTGCTTTCTCAGGAGAGCTTGCTTCGCAATTGCTTGAGCATGCAGAAACCATGGAAAAGCATTACAAGGTCTTGCAAACAGCTGTGAACAGCAACGTCGTGGACGAGGCCTTCTACACGAAAGCATTCGCCAAGATTCAGAAGGACCGACAGTGGTTTGAAAGCGCAGAGCCAGCAGCCGATTCAATTCTGAGCGGATTGAAAAGAGCAGCCAACAGATCGAAAGGAGACGGAGGCAAAAAGAGCAGAGGAGGAAAGAAAGACAAGGCGGACAAGAAATGAGAGCCTAGTTTCACAAGGCTTGATTTTGCTACCATCGAAATCTTTCGGTGATTTGGGCGGGGTCCCTTTGGAAGCACAAGCTTCTAATCTTAGAGAGTTGCGTCTGTGTCACGCCTAGGTCACAGGTGATTTGCGTATGGCGTTGGGGCCAGGCTGAGCTTATCTCAGTATACTTAGACACTTGGATCTATACAACCTTCATCAAAACTTTCTCAAATGGAATCATAAATCAGGATTTCTTTCCCACTTTTGATGTGGCCTTCCAGCGCTTCGCAAGCTGCAATGCGCATAGTGGCAGTGCATTCGGCATTGAGCACCTTGACAAGCGACGGCCAGAAAAGCCGTGCAGACTGCCAAATTGATGAGTTGGATCCTCTGAAAACATTCAAATCTCTTTGAAGCAATCTTACCAGAGAAAAAATGGAATGGTCATCAGATCAAATCAGAACAGTACCACGCCGTGTGAATCATGACATGTGCCTACATCCCACTTGAACTTCAGGTGGATCGTTGCTAGCTCCGTCTGATGTCAGGCCAGCCCGAGGATCTTGGATAGAGTCATGGTGTTGAGAAAATCATCCCAAAGTTGTCAAAAAGTTTCCAAGTCATTTTTTGGTCATTGAAATTATGCAGAGCACTTTGGAATCCAATAGCAGGTTCCCAGGTTCCATTGCTGTGATTCCACAGTTATCCCAAATCCATGATATTACATATGTTGATCACCCCAGGTATCCACAGTTCCAACTCATCCCATCTAAGTTTTGTTGATCGCCCAACGTATGCACAGTTCCAGTTCATCAGAATGCATCCCAATTTATTTAAGTTGATCACCCAAGCTTTCCATAGCTATACCAAATCATGTGCTGTAACTTATTGATGTTGATCACCCAAGTTACCCACTGTTCCAAACCTTCCCAACGTTTCTATCTTTGATCACCCAAGTCACCCATAGCTATCCCAAATTACTAACTTATCATCTGCAAAGGTTTTCATAGTTATATATCCCATGTTATCCCAAATCATCTCCACTTAGTATGCTTATCACAACAGTTTAATTTAAACTGGATCCTTCTCATTCCCAAAGCTATGCCAAATCCACGATGTTATTTACTCACGCAAGTTATCCCCAAATGGTCATGGAAAGGTCTACCCTTCAAAATGGGACATTTCAGTTGCAATCATCAAGATTCCGAAAGCCCTTTTCAATCCCAGTGCGCTTGAACTCAAACCGTTTCCCGGGTGTTCCCTTTAGCTATTTCAATCATCCATGCTGACCCCAGTCTTACCAGGTCTTACCAAGTCTCAGCCATTTCCTGATCAGGTGCTCGAAGCGTAGAACGATCGAAAAGATGAAGAGGTCCCACACCGTTGAGCAACTCTTGAACCTCGTGGGGAAGGGTCGGATAGACATCAGCTGCGCAACTGATGTTGCCCGGGCTATTCTGGATGATGGTGTCCAACACGAGAGCATCAACAAAGTGGCAAGTTTAGGCTGTTACGGGAGTTCCCAATCCAATGCAGAACGAGATCTTCATAGATGGTTGAAGAATCATTTTGGGTTGTGCCTACAGCCATACACTGTTCAGCTCCCTTTGAAGGCCACCAAACGGGATAATGGGGTTTCTTTTCTCTAATCATGGAAAGGTAGGTAGCGTTTTGAACTCCAGTGGTTTGTCAATGTGAGGGTCAAGAGGGTCTACCCACCAAGTGTCAAATTTTAATTCTCCAGCTTCATCCCCTGCAAAGGTGAATGGAATCAGAGACGTGGAAGTACCCGTGAGCATGTTTCTCCCCCACGAAGTACTTCATTCTTTGGCAACCTGTGATTGTGCTGTTCTGTTTCGATCCATCATGTTTGGAAACCGAGATCCACGTGAAATCAAAAAGTTTTGGGATCATGTTCGGCAGCTGGCGCCGTGGAAAGACCACCCAGTCCTACAAGACCCATCCCAAGACTTTGGGCGTTTGATCGCACTACAGTTTCATGCTGATGGGGCTGAAATATACCGTGATGATGAATATTTCATCTACAGCTTCAGCAGCATCTTTGGTAGTGGTTTGGTGACCGATGTCCTTCTTCACCGCTTTCCACTGGTTTTTGTGGCTGAGCGTCATATGCAACAAAACAGTGTCCCATGTTTTACTTTAGCACGTTTGTTTTCACCAACAGAAAGTATTATTTGAGCCTATGGGGCCCTTTCCAGGAGGTATGTCCAGCACATCCAGCTTCTTAGGTGAAAAAAGCTGTGAACAAAATTGTGGCTGATGTGATGGCGTGGAGCCTGAAACATTGTGCATCGGGGTTGGCCCCAACAGTTGGATTTTACAATGAAGAGTTTGGGAAAAACACATGGCGGTCCAAGTTTGCTGGACAGCAACTGGCGAACGGATTCAGGACCGGGATTCCATAACCCATCAAAAACACCAACATGTTTTCCTAACCGTTCCCCTTCAAAGATTTATTGTGAAACCCAACAATGTGAAGGCCCCCCAATTTAGCTGATCCAAACAATCTATTTTCAATTTTGGAAACTATTGGTTTCAACATGTTAGCAGCAGTTTTGTTGGTTGGAGAGACCCTGTCAGGGCATGTTATTTCTGCTGGAAGGGTGATTTGAAGGCACGTCATGAAGTTCATCTTTTTGACCACTGGTTTCAGTGCACCATGCCCCATGTCATTCATCATTCAAATGTTGGAGCTTTTGAATTTCCACCCAAATAAATATGGGACATCCATCGGTTTTGAGTTTCAGTAGTCCAGCCTAGGCTATGTGACCAGTGCATGGCAGAAAAACCGAGTGTAAACGGGCACTGGACAATGAACTACAAGAACATGGCAGCCAATGCACCTTACCGACTCTCCCATTTAAACCACGAAACATATGTCGCGATTGCCACAGAGGTGAGCCCATGGTCATCCATTCCTGGCTGGAGACTGGAGAACAATGTCTTTGATTTTATGCACAACTGTTTCCTAGGCACCGGGAAAGATTTTGTGGCCAGTGCAATTCGGCTACTCTTGGAACGGGGTGCTTTTGATGGTTTCCATTGCGAACGATCATCTGATCTCATGTTTGCAAGAACCACCATGGAGATTCAGGACACCTACAAACAACATGGGTTCCTCTCTATCAAAGTTCAATATGAAGAGTTTTTTGCAATTTTACCTTCAATATGGGAACCTTCAACTTCTATTTTGGTCTTGTTTGTTCACCACCAAAAGGTAAATTTCATATATGAAACATCTTATGATCAAACCAGGTTGTCGTATGGCGGGCCGTCCATTGTGAAGCACTATTGCTACCCCAGGAACAAAGACAATGCAGAACTTGGTTCTACTTTCAAGGCTGTCCATGTTAAGTCATTGCTGTGGTGGTTGGCTTTGAGAACGCGGGAGGCATCCCTGAAATCCCCAGGTGAAACTTGTCCCCAACAAAGATGGGTTTGTGAAATTGGTTTCATGTGGTGTGCAATTTCAATCCCCGAAAAATTCCAGAGTTTGTTTGGGCCTGTGCTTCAACTACAACTATTTAACGTCGCAAAGGTTTTCCACGGTATAACTGGTTCAGGTCATTGTTCCGGTGAACCCTGATACATGGAAACAAATTCAGACTCCATTCATTATTGGGAATTAGGATGCTTCTTGAAAGTAATCAAGGTATTTGAAAGTACCCCCAAAAATTATGATTCAGATCTTTGATTCATCACCCACCGTTTGAGGATCCTTTACTCCAAACCTTGGCGTTCTCTGCTTGGAATCTGAACCGGGCAGTTGAGATTTGTGATGGGGACCATCTCCTTCTCGTGCCAAGATACGCTGACGAATGTGATGAAGTGTTGCAGCAGCACCTCCGGTCATTCCAGTTTCTAGCTGTGCGTCATGGAGTGAACGCACGGCTTTTCAACATGCGTCCAAAATGCCACTACAATTACCACACGGGGGACCAAACCAGAAAGTGGCAAATCAACCCATTTTGCTTTGACTGTTTCGATGAAGAATCATGGTTGGGCCATATAAAACGCATTGCAAAGCAATGCCATGGGTCCACGATGACAGCAAGGGTCCTTTCCCGTTACCTTATTTGTCTGGGGCTTTTTTTGGAAAACCACAGGAGACAGGTTGAAAATTGAAGGCCAGCCATGGCTAGGGGTTCGGATCTTCCCATCACCATGCTTAAAGGCGTCAAGATACCCACCTGAAACATTTCAATACCCAATGAGATGGCTTTAAGCAAAGATATGTTTTTTTGCTTTTATACCTGGATGCAAAAAAAAGTGGAGATCCATGTTGGGGTGAAAGCTTGGAACCCAAAGTTCAAGCGAGTGGCAAGTAGCAAGAAGCTACAAACGCCAGCCAGAACACGCAGCCAGTGCCCAGCGCTCATGAGGCAAAAGGCACAGCGAAGTCCGAGGCATTGATGGTTGAAAGCCCCAAATACTTAAGTTTCAGGATTCTGTCTTTGGAGAACCCTTTTCATCACCTGTGTTCGTTGGAAACCAAAAAAGATGTGTGACTGATTTGGTGGGTCTTAAGGTTCAATCCCGTGTTCTTGTTGCATCTCCTGTTTTCCCAAGATATGTAGACAAGATTATAAATAACCACATATATATATATATGCATAACAAGATAGTTAATATACATATGGTAAAATTCAACTACATGTTTCAAAAAGAAATAGGGGATAGGGTTGCTCATGTGCTCTTGAGCTCTGCTGGCTTGGACCAGTTTAAAAAAAAAAACAGAGATTCACCTTGGCCAACCCATGGCTGTTACTGCACAACCTGTCCCGCTGACGGTTTTGGGAAAAACATATATCCATATGGTTTGGTGTCAAAAACGACACATATTCACATGTCGCTTTTAGGGTTAAACGAAACAGATTCACCTGTCGTTTTTTTAGGGTTAAAACGGCACATATTCACATGCCGTTTTTAGGGTTTAAACGGCACATATTCACATGTCGTTTTTTTAGGGTTAAAACGGCACATATTCACATGCC